GCACCAAGGTCACCTTTGATTCTTTTCATGCTAACAAACAAGCAGGGCAGCGAGGAGGCTGAGCGAGCACAGTGCACTGCTCCGGCCCATGCTGGGCTGCCTGGGCCGCAGTGCTACTACCTCGTGGACTGGGCAGTTGCTCTGTGTTTCTGCTGCTCAGGTCCCTAACCGGCCTCAGGGTTCCTGTGAGATTGAGTGCACTGGGAGGGCTGTGTGGGGAGGGCACTTGGCACACAGCAGTGAGGACTTGGCGAGCAGTGGCTGCCAGAGGGTGTGGGCCCCCAGTGCACTGTTCCTGTGGTGCTGGGCTCTGTAGCTCCCAGCCCACGGCCCCAGGAAGGGGTCCCCTCTCCCTTCAGGACCTGGGCCATGGCTCACTCAGCTGGGACAGAATTTCCCACAAGCACAGGTGGGTCCTGGGATCCTTCCAAGTCGAGCAAGATGTGCATGTGTGCGTGTGTGTGTGTGCATGTGCATGTGGGTTTCTTATGCCTCTTATTGCTTTGCTTGAGGAACGGAGACTCTTGGTGGCATCCAGTCACACCCTCACTTTACAGCTGTGTGACTCTGGGGGATCTGTGGGGTCTAGAAGTCTGAACGACAGTCACTCGGGTTGAGGTGGGAGCAGCGGGTCCTCCACAGCAGGTGGGCGGCTGAGCTTGGGGAGGGCATCAGACACCAGACTGAGGTCTCTGGCCGGAAGTTCACTCCCACCTGACCTGCTTCCCTGGGATGGGGAGTCATGGACACTGCAGGGGCTCAGGCCCCACTAGCAGAGTCCTCGGGGTCTTCCGTGCACTTGAAGGTGCTGCCCACACTCGGTCTATAGCCTGATAACACAAGGGAGAGCTGGAGGGCAGAGACGGCCAACACCTGAGCCAGAGCGCTCAGTCCTCATGCAGCTGCCTGCCGGTCCTCTGGCTGCAGCATGTGCTCCTTCCACTCTGGAAGACAGACCGTGCTCTCAGCCTGGAGCCCATGGTGCAGAGTCTTCCTTGGGCATGAGGAGGAAGGAGGAGAGGGTTCCTGGGGCTGAGGCCTGAGCTGAGTTGAGTGGAGGAGGAAGCTGGGCGGTCTGCAGTGGGGATGGGTGTGGCTGAGAGCAGGGATCACTCACAGGAAGGTCTGGATGGGCACCCGGGAGCCCTGTGGGAGTAGCTGAGACCCACACTCCGACCCTGTCCGACAGGTGCCATTCCCAGACAGCATCAGGGGCAAGGGCAGGGTGAGGGTCTGCAGCCATGCATGCAAGTGGGTGTGCATGACACCCAGTGTACAGGGCAGCCAGGTCCTAAGCACCCTGCCCTTGCTGAGCCCTCACGGCTCAGTCTTCTTGGCTATGAGCAGGCAATCTAGGGTTTACACGTGCTTGGATTTTACAAGTCTACATGGACCACACTGTGCCATGGTCAGAGGAGGAACTGAGGCAAAGGATCCTAAAGAACCTGGGTGTGGGAGCTGCCCTCCAATGGCTGAAATGAGGCATGGCGAACAGGCTGCTCAGATGCCTTCACTCAGCAATCTGCATCTCAATTTGGTTCTTTCCCTCCACATCTCAGAGGGAGGAGGGAGATTTTTGGGCAAACGGCCGTGTGAAGCACTTCTCTCTAGGCACAGGTTGGGAGGGGTGGCAGGAGGCTGCTGCCTGTCTGGGGCCCCCACTTCCCAATACTTCGTACTGCAGTGAGTGAGAGCTAGAAGTATGGAGATTCAGCAGGTTAGGACAGATGCAGGGGCCAGAGGCTCCCATCTGTAATTCTAGCACCAGAGGCTCCCATCTGTAATTCTAGCACTTGGAGCACAAGGCAGGAAGATCATAAGTTCAAGGCCAGCCTGGGAGGTTTGGTCTCAGGGTGGCTCAGGGTGAAGGCTCTGGGTTCCACCTCCACTACCAAAACAAAGGAAACAAGGGAAGAGAAGAAAGAAAAAATAAGAATCAGAGAGAGAAAGAGAGAGAGAGTGAGGGACCAAAGACAAAGACTGAGGGGAGACAGAGAGCCCATTCTTAGCTGTGTGGGAAAGAGGAACAGGAGGAGGAAGTCTGCACTTGCACAAGAGACAGGAGGGCAGGCCAAGCTGGAGGGCAGGGACTCTGGTGACGCCTGATGCCTGCTCTGCGACAGCCCTTCTGCGTTGAGGGCAGAGTGCAGGTCCTGGGACACTCGGGAGTGGTCGTCTGCCTCGCTGTGGTACTGGCCAGCCCTCTGACCATTGTCTCGGCCCTGCGAGGGTCCCCCTCCCCTGCCCTGGAAGCATCTTGTTCTCTCTGTCCCTGGGACTGTGACAAAGGCAAGGCACCCAGCCCAGGTGTAGGGTGACCACTAGCCTCCGTCCTGGGTTCACAGAGAGTGTGAACGTGTGTGTGTGTGTGTGTGTGTGTGTGTGAGGGTGGGGCTCATGCAGATGAAACACAGAGCGCAGAGTGGAACCGAAGACCCCTGCAGAGAGCCTGGCCACGCAGGTGTCTCCAGCCAGCCAAGCAGAGGCCAGAGCAGCTGGGGTGAGTGACGCGCTGGGTCTGGGAGCAAGGCCAAGGGGGCTCGGGAAGGGCTGGCTGTGCGGTGAGAGAGGACAGGAAAGGAGACCCCCGCAACCCTCTGCCCACCCCTCCTCAGTGCACCACTCCCACAACCCCCTTGGTCTGGGCCCTGCAGGCCACGTGGGGGCTGGGAATCCCGAATGGAGGAGTCGCCCAGGGTCCAAAGGTGGGAACGGGGTGGGGGAGGGCGCCCTGGGCCAGGACTCACACTGGGGACCCTGAGGAAGCCAGGCTTCTCAGACCCGGGAGCGAGGGTCATGGGGCCGAAGTCCTGCTTCTGCTGGAGGAGCCCCCACGGCCAGTGCCACAGAAGCTTGGGGGCATAGCGGGCTCCGGGAGATGGGAGGTGATACCGAAAGTTTCACTTGTCTGTCAGCCCCACCTCAGTGCACTCTTGGAGAGCAGAGGTGGGGTGCAGGGCAGTGGTAGCGCCCCCCGCAGCTTCTCCGTCTGTCTTCTCCAGGTGATGTTGGGACCTCTGAGGCCGGCGGGACCTCTGGCCACCTACAGTCCGGGCTGGTGACCCCAGAGTGTGCTCCAGGAGGTGAGGCTGCTGAGTGAGGGGTCTGCTGCTTCTTGGGGTGCCAGGGATCAGCAGGGCCACGGGCTGTGGCGCTGAAGGCTCAGAGCCTCGGGGGGGGG